AAAGGCTACTATGTGAATGGATACAAGTTCCATACATTAAACAATGGAGAAATCGTAAGGCAATGAACACTGGTGTTTGCATCAAAGGAAGTTGCTATAATGATTATGATCATGACTTTTACTAGTCGTTGATCAATATCGTTGAGTTAGAATACTTTGGTGTGAACAATCAAGTAGTTTTGTTCAAATGTCATTGGTTTGACATCGTAAAAGGTCTTAAAGTTGATCCTATTCATGGATTAGTTGAAATTAGACACAACTCAAATCTTGCTACTAATAAGCCTTTTGTTTTAGCTAAACAAGCTACTTAAGTTTACTACCATCCATATCCATCAAACAAAAGAGATCGACATGATTGGTGGGTAATGTACAAATGAAGGCTTGGAGTCAATTTGACATTCAGAATAATGATGCAAATGATGGAAAAATGATCGACTTGAACAAAGGTGTGTATTGAAAAAATGAAGTTCCATTCAATACAAGATTTGATCATCCTTTCACATGACCTAGACAATACTACAACTCTAGTTAATGGTGAATATGAAAAGGATAATACATTTGTTGAGGTTGAACAAGAATATGATGAAGAGAATGAAAGAGTTGAAGCACAAGATGAAAAGACAAAGGAAGATGCAAACAAAGATAATGATAATGAAAGCGGTGATGATAAAGATAAGAACAAAGAAAATGAGTTTGCATATTCAGATGATGATTGATGATCGATGTTTTTGTTTTATTTAAATGATGTAAAGATTTTGACATTTAAATGTATTGATGATGATTCATTTACATATGCCATTTTGTTTTGAATTCATGTGTATGAACATTATTATAAATTTCATATGAATATGTTTTTCAATGATTATGTATTACATTAATTGGCAATTAATATTAATGGATTGGGTAAAATACCTTGACTCCCTTAAGTTTTAACCATAATTCGATGTAGGTCCATTAGTATTCGAAATGGATAGTCTACCCCAAACTTGTAAACGGCATTAACAGACAAACATAAAATGTTTAAAATACCTTTCTTCTTTCTTCACTCTTTTTTACTATTTTCCTTTCTCTCAAGTCAAGTAGTGATTCTCCTTACACCAATCGGCCACCCAGTAGCTGGATTTGGCCATGAAATGTCAGATTTGCCCAAATCTTCCTAGGGAGAGCATGATATTAACACTCCCTAGATTCGTGCTCCCTAAGGAAACACCAGCACCATTTAACTGGATCTGGCGCTTCTTGGCCAGATCCGACCACAAGGTGGCTGACTAAGGAAAGATAGGGTAAAGAGATTTTTTTTTTTTTGAATAAGAAAGAATAAAATTTTAAAAATGAAAAATTATAGTTTATATAGTGTGGTAATTTTTTAAATTAATGAAGGATAAAATTATCTAAGAAATATTACCATGTCATCAAAGTAACAAAAACATTAATGGTTGACTAATGTTGGACTTACGTGTCTAGTGAAAAATATTCTTTTAGGGAAAACTGTCTATTTGAAATACTAATAAACCCATGTGAAATTATGACTAAAACTTAGAGAGACCTACATGGAAATATGGCTAAAACTTAGAGGTTCACAGATTGTAACAACCGACTCACATGGTGGTTACCAGTGCACAAGTCATGAAAATAAGCCTACACAACCCGGCTAGCCTTTTAAGCATTTTATTCTGCCTATGTTTATTTTCCTTACATTTTCATTTCTACACCAATTAAGTTTGCCAATCATCAATGTCGTTATCTCATCCATAACTCACATTGAAAAAAATAATGTCTCATTAATAGTTCACGTGTTTCAATAACTTAACTCCACACTTTTAATTCACAATATTTAA